CACAATGTGCTTTAGGTAGGTCATCAGCAGCTTCTGTTTTAGCTAGTGAACAAGAGTTATGCCTCATCAATAAACCTTTAATTTTATTAGGTATTTTGCCATAGATATAGTTAAATAGCATTTCTTGATGACTTCTGGTTTGAGGCTAAAACACTATGCTTCATAGTCCTTAATTACTTTATTTACTCTATTCTAAATCACTTGATCTATCATGATTCTTCCAAAAAGGCTTAGAGAACCAGTCTAACTTGTTGAAAGGCTAGCTGGCACATAATTCACCTTATAATATGATTAAGTAAAAGGACAGATAATGCAAATGAAATTTAGATTTAGTCATCGTTTTTTTTCTAGATACCCATATTAATTTCAGCACAATGTCCTCCCATATCAGTATCAGAAATGCAAACTGATACTAGTTTCCAATAACTATCAGCTGTTATGTGAGGCACACTGTCAAACACATACACCATTTGTAAGATTCAGTCCTAGATAAATACACACTATAATGCAATTGGCAAAAGTGGTAAAAAATTCTGAGATAGTTGAATGCCCCTTCCACACAGGCAAAATGCTCAAAACCACAACACACAAATAAAAAAGCTCTAATAAAACTGGTATTCTGGCAACCAAATTTCATTTTGGAAAAGCTACCATACCAATAAAGCCAATTCCAATTTTGCCTCCTGATAGTATCAATCATGACCGTAACGCTCTGGCTACACGTTTTGCTTCCACTTGTTGACAGCTCTTTGCTATTCTCAACTCTGTTCACAAACAGCAGCAAATTCCAAACGTGAGTTACTACCATTATTATTCTTGTATAAGAAAAGACTTACTATCTTATGAAAACTTACTATGATGCCTTCATAATAGAATGTTTATCCAAGTACTGAAGTCATAATGCATTTTTTAGTCAATTCTTACATAAGCAAAGTCAAGTTTATTTAATCAGGATCAATTTTGATTGACTGTTTGTTTCAAAGTACAGTATGCTGTCTGAATCACAGATTTTTACTCATTAAAATTGCACAGAGATTTTTTTCTTAAAAGCTGTAAAAGAGTAAAAATGATCTTGCAAATATAGAAGGAAAACAGATGATAAAATTAGTGAGTAAGCAAAAAGAAAGCGCTATCAAGGCAAATAAAGGCTATGAAATGTTGCAATGTTTTATACCATTAGTTGTACTCACTTTTCCCTCATCTCTTGGGCTGTCACTTAAATGTACAACTGGCCCAGGGTGAGTCTTTGTGGATCTGCAAGATAAAAATAAATTCAAAACTGTGAATGTTTTTTGTATGAAGAGCTAGATGCTTACCTTAATCTCTAGATGTGTTAACATGTCCTTCCAACGGTTTAAAAGTCACTCTAAAAAGCTCAACAGTGGAAGGTAACTATCTGAAAGTTTTCCATATTTTTCACATTCTTCTCTATTTCCTTTTTGCTGTTACAGGCAAAGATTCTCCTTTGTTGATGAATCCTTTCTTTTATTTTTTTAAAAAATCTCACTATTCCTCCTATTACAGTAATTTCCATGGCCCTCCCCCCCCCCATTTCTAAGGCTTTTTTGCCTTTTCTATTCTCCACACCCTCTCTTTCTGCCCTTCCTCCTCACTTGCTCGATTTCAAGGCTAGTCTGCCAAGGATTTGCAAAGTCTTCACTAGATTCATTGCAAATACTGATAACAAGAATCACCAAGTTCCAATCTCATTAATGACAGGGCTTCAGTAATCTCACCTACACTGCTCTACTAGGTAGCTTCTTAGCATTATTGCAGTGGGGGTTTCAGAAATGGAGCAACTTGCCTTTGTCTATTCTGTAAAGCCTTATGACATCTTGAGATCGACTAACACAGCTACACCCATGTTCAGTGAGGCTCCTCAGTGATAAGACCCAACCCATGAGTCTTTGTAAGCCTCTATAAAGATTGCTTATTGTTCTTGCTGTCCTCTCTCTGTAAGATGTACCAACAACTTGGTATGCAACTTAGTACGGGGACTGCTGCTTAAGTAACTGATGTCCAGCACCTGTCAGCAAATGCAATTCATAGAAACTGAACGCATGTATGAAGACTTTTCAACTGTCATATTTTCTGACCAGAGCTTTAGGCCCCAGCAGCCACACAGAGCAAGAAGTCAAGCACCCGTCCACAAAGCTTCAGGCTATTTGAATGCCTGCACAGAACAGGACCTTTCTTCCATCTAGGTTCTAGGGTCACAGCACATGGCCCTTGGGAGTTCAGCTGATCTAGACTTGCATGGCTGGTGTTGGTTCATCAAAGGTCACCAGGAAAAAAATATGGCAGAGATTGGCAGGTCCCATAAAGCTAAGAGTTTATCTGGAAGCTATACCTAAAACTGCCTAGGCTCCAAGTTTTAAAACAATCTGCAAGAGAATTAAAGAAACAAACCAAAACAATGGTCTCCAGCCAAATGCTCAAAGGATTTTCTTTAATTAACAGTGTTCCTTTTCCTTCGGCTCAAATACTGCACTATAGCAAAACTGGCCTGTGTTCTATTAGGTCAGACTCCAAATGAAGATTGACAGCGGTATGCAAAAATTCCCGGGCAACTCAAACATTAAAATACTGTGGAGTAATCCATATCCTTACAGACTCCTTCCCAAAACAGTATGCTCCAACACTCTTGAAAGCATGCACACTTTTCTCCGGCCTCTACTTTTTTTCCCCATAGAATATTTCACATAATTCAGCTATTTGGTCATGTACCAAAGCTGTGCCACAGCAGAGTGGCAAAGACCTTGTGTGATATTTGCTTCTCAGCTAAAGACAATCAAAAATTACTCCAGACATCCTTAGACCTTCCAAATTAAGTTTATTCCAGGCCAAAGAGACAGAAAGCTTCAAGTCACCTAAAGGCCAGACAACCCTCCAAAACTATACCCCACACCTTCACATATATTTTAACATTACTCCTAGCTGCGTACACAAAGCTAGTGGCAATATGGCCAAGCCCCTTCCCTGGTCAACCCTCTCCATGAGATGATCTCATGTCACCATCTTCAGCTTTGGCAGATCATGATCCACAGATACCTGCAGCATGTTACTTTTCTACATGAGGTTTCAGTGCGCTAGACTTCTGCAAGAGCATTTTGCAGCATATCCCAGCACAGATGTGAGATCAGTAGGAAAGCAATGGACAGTCAGATTATACAGCAATATTCTATACAGACTGTCTTTAATAGTGCCAGCAGCAAGACCCATTCAGCTTGAGACATGGCACACAACAATTTTTGCAGAGATGCAGGAGATCTGGCTGTCAGTCCTATCCAAGCCAGCTTCCCCGAGGGGACCCCTCTGGCTGAGCTTCTGTTTCTGAGCAACCTGTACTGGAATAACAGAATCATTTCCACAACATCAGACTTTGGAGCAGGCAGGGTAGGTGGGTAGTGATGGGGAACTGAGGGGTGAGATAGCGCTAACTGCAAGCAGTGCTTAGATCCACACATGTTTTGTACACCTGTCCTCAGGGAGTGAATATGACATCTTGGGACATTCTAGACTGCTTTGAACTTTCTGATGTAGGTTCACCTATCTGAACTGGTCAGAATATATTGATGAAAAGAACTAGGTCTGTTTGGGGTACATGCTGCCTATGCCATGACAGGCAAAGAAGGATAAGAATAAGAGGAAAAACGATGAAGAGAAGAGGCAGCATAAGAAATTTTTCTTTTTAGCCAGATAATAACCACTGACAGATGACAGAAAAGGGAGTTAAGCCAAGCAAACATCAGGCATGACTAAACTGGCAACAGACAAAATGGTGGAAGCAGCACATGCAGACTGACAAGGCATACTGGTTTGGGCGTTTAACCCAGCCCATTTAATCAATCAGTATGCAGGCTGGGTTGCCCAGCCGTACGAATATTGTCCCTTGGCAGGGAATATTGGCAAAATATTCAGGGCAAATAGAGGGAGAAAGGGAAAGAGCATACTGTCTTTCTAAGGTAAAGATTGACCCCAGCTAGGCTGCTCTTTATACATACCAATTTTAAAAGTCAAGAACAATTTAGATAAATCTGTGAAGCCATCATTTTCTTTTTAAGATACATATGCCATTGCTTACCAAATATATATCCATTTGTCTTTGGGTAGGAGTAAAAACTCTTACATGAGCTGTAGTCATGCTATATTACATCTAACTTTAGGCTAATTATATTTTCATTGTCACACAAACCAGTTGTTCCTCTGTAAATTATATAAAACTGTCTTTTACTACCAGTCTTATTTTTATTTTATATTCTTGCACAGACACAGCCTCAGATTTCCATGCTAAGACCTCAGCTGCAAGTGGTAACTCACTAGTACAATACGTTTTCCTACCTCCTCCATTTCTCTCTTGAATCTGTTGTAAACAATAGTTGGAGGATCCTGGAATTTATTGCACTGTAATAAAATTTCTTTTTGCTTTTCAGGATATTAAGCACTTTTCGTTTCTTTCAGAAAAAGAAACTTTTTCTGAAAGTTTTCATTATTAAATTTTTATTATTAGGTTCCTAGCTATTTCTTTAGTTTTGCTAAAAAAGAGCTTCATATACATTATCAGCAAAGTTGATAGCGAACACAGGAGTCTGTGCACTATATGTATGAGATTTTATTTTTCCTCATTCTCTTTCCTCTATGTTTGATATAAGTATTCTCTTAATATTTGTATTATCTTACTCTTCAGTATTTTAATAGTTTAGTTGTTTTGTATTGTAATGGACTTGGTCAGGCTTCTTCCATTTGCTTCTAATTTTAGTATTTTAGTCAAGTATGTCACTCTATCAAGAGATTCAATGAACCATTGTTTTGCTTTCACATGTACTCCATCAGTCTTTGGTTCTATTCTTGTTAGCTCTTCTATGTCAAATATTGGATGTAGGTGTCACGGTGGTGTCAGTGGGAAGTTGCAGGGGGGTGTCTCTGTGAGGAGTGGCCAGGGCTGCCCTACTCTGGACACAGCTGGCCCCAACGGACCCATGGCAGGGCACAGCCCAGCCCTGCAGCAAAGTTGGTCATGCCTTAGGGAAAACAAATTTAAGAATTTAAGACAGGGTTAAACCCGCTTCACAGATAGTGAGGAAAACAATGTGAGAAACAGCCCTGCGAGCAGCAAGGTCAGCAGAGGAGGAGAGGAGGAGGTGCTCCAAGTGCTGGAGCGGAGATTATCCTCCTGCCTGTGGAGAGAACCATGCCAGAGCAGATATTTCCCCTGCAGCTGATGTAAGACCCCACTCTGGAGAAGGTGAATGTTTCCTGAAGGAAATGCAGCCTGTGAAGAGCCCACATTGGAGTAGATTTATCCTGAAAGGCTGCAGCCTGAGGAATGACCTGTGCTGGAGCAGGGAAAAAGTGTGAGGAGGAAGGAGCAGCAGAGAGATGCTGTAATGGATTGAACACAAACCCCATTCCTCATCCCCCTGCACTGCTTGAGGGGAGGATCGGGAGGAGGTAGAGGAGTTGGGAATGAAGGGGTGAAGTTGATACTAGGAAAAATAGGGGTTAGGGGGAAGGTGTTTTAGTTTTTGTCTTTGTTCCTCACCATTCCACTCTATTTTAACTGGCAATAAATTAAATTAATTTTCTCCAAGTCAAGTCTGTTTTGCCCACTGACAGTGATTGGTAAGTGAACCCCCTGTCTTTATCTTGACCCATGAACTTTTCCATCTTATTTTCTTTCCCTGTCTTGTTGGGGAGAGGGAGTGAAAGAGCAGCTGGGTGGGGGTCCCGCAACTAGCCAGGGTCCACCCACCACAAATACCATGATTGCTTAACAGCTATCAGGTTTGACTATACATGGATAAGAGGAAAGAGAGAGTCCATTCAGTTTGGCAGTCAAAACACTTATTTCTGTCAGGAAATAAGAAAGGATTCTTTTCAAATATTTGTATATCCTAAACCTAATTTCAGACATGCCATCACAGATAAGATCACATGCAGAGTTTCTGGGGTGATGACAACAGATGTTTCTGAAACTTTTTGAATTGAGGAGCCTACTCCCTGGCAGTCCTCCTGCACTGCCTTTCTGGATCTCCAAGAAACATAGGTGTTTTCATACGTATCAAGTAAAGTATTTGCATCAAAACTGATTCCTCTTTGGACTAAGCAACAGGAATATTCACAAGGTGCAGCATAAAGCTTTTGGTTTGCTTTGCATGGGACATGCACAGTCCCATCTTGGAGGAGGATATACTGAAACAGAGTAACACCAGTTCAGATGGAGCAGGGAAGAAAACTGTGCATGAAAGGGTTGT